ATCAAAAATATACTTGTTATGAAAATGGGGAATTTGCTTAAAATCCTAGTAAGCAATAATTTTTGGTAAAATGGTCTATGGTCCATATTTTTTGGTTAATTGATCTTTAATTTATTTTATGTGTTAAAAGTCTTAAACCCCCAAATGTCTAAGATATTCAATTTGAAACAAAAATTTACCGAACCTCTGAAACATATATTCCTACTTTCATTTTCACTTTGCATATTCAATTTAAAACTAACGGCTAAACTTTCTTTTTAAACGATTGAGTGTCGTTTTAACTATGTCATATTTGTATTACTTTATGTTCTGTTGTATACACATAAAAATTAATGAAAATTTACCTATATTTGGAGTGGATTGAGAGTACGTGACTCAAAATGGCACCTTGTAATTATAAACGGTTGGGTGATGTTTTAACTAATTTCGTATCCATTTCATTTTATATCTCTCGTATCAAAATGAAAATGAACGTGGGAAGTTTTCACTATATTTAGAGTGAAATCGAGATCCCGTAACCCAAAATGTCATAATGTCATTTCAACGAACTTTGTATTTCACTTTATATATACTCGTATGCGTGTGAAAATGAACGAATGCAAGTTTTCATTACATTTCGATCCAAGTGTTCATAAAAAGTTCTCATGATAATGACCAAACTATTGTTCTATGAATAAATTATCCTAGATTTAATTACAAAGGAAGATATTTAAGCCAAATTTCATCATATTCTAATTATGATACAAGATACTAAACAAATTAGCTTGTTCAACTCGTATAAGCCTTTTAAATGTTCTAGGATCTAATGAACTCATTTTGGAGTGAAATTAAGATCTGTGGCCCAAATGGCATGATATCGTTTTAAACGGCTAGTGTTCTTTGAATTATTTCTATGTTTGTTTGACTTTATATTCACTTGTAACTGTATGAAATGAACGAATGCGGGTTTTCACTACATTTAGATAGAAAGGTTTATACAAAAGTTCACACCAACAATATTGTTTTGTCTAATAAACTATGCTAGAATTCACTATAAACGAAGGTAAGTTATTCAAATTTCAGTTATGAATAAGATACTCAACAAATTCACTTGTTCATGTCTTATAAGATGTTTCAAGATATGCTCAACTCGTTTAATATAGATGTACATTCATGTGCAATACGTTTTGACCCTTTTAAGTTTCGACGTGGAGAAGGATTTAATTTTCATGTATCCTGTTTCATTGGAGTAAATAAGAGAGAGGATGCTTTTTTTATAGAGAGACATAATGCTGCTCTTTTAGTCAAAAAATTGAAAGCTTTAGAAAAGCAACCTCTAAATATTAGTTCTTGCTTTCATCGAATGTGGAGTTTAAGAAGGGAAAATAAGTTTATGAGAGGGACGACTTCTGTGGAAAAAGTGGAAAACCCGCCCGGTGTAAATGCATATTCTACGAAGCGGAAAAGAAAAGCATCAGAGAAACTTCAACGTTCCATGTATGTAGTATCTATGCTATCTTGCCCTTTTCGGCAATTTGCATGTTTACTTCTGTTTGAAGATCAATGCCTCAATGGATTCGCAAATTGAAAAAATCCTTTTATGAAATATAGGAAGGAAAAAAAATTCATTCTGAGGCTCCTGAAATTGTTGCAAGTTCACAAGTGACGTCTTGTAGAAAATATTGAAAACCCTCTCTAAGATGGAGTTCTGGTAAAACAGAAGAGCCTTTCACAGGTGCAGAAGAAATCTTTTTCTAATGACAAAAGAAACATGGAAAATGCGAAATTACGTGACATCAATAATGATTCTATGCCAAGCACGAAAGGGTGGGTTTAGGTATAAAATAGTATTTCCTTCTTCAAGATGATGTTTGCACTTTATTGTTTAACCTTTGGTTTCGACCGATTAAAATACAAGAAAATGTCATTAAAATTCTTTCTAGTTCTATTCGTGGTTAGAATTTTACATACNACCTTTGGTTTCGACCGATTAAAATACAAGAAAATGTCATTAAAATTCTTTCTAGTTCTATTCGTGGTTAGAATTTTACATACTTCCATGCTCAAACCGATTCTATACGGTCATTCAAATTTTAATTTCCATTTTCCAATTGACTTTTTGATTGAGGTATAAAGAGATCATTCTGTAAAAAACTAATGCCCATATGGTAGAATGAGAATGTGTCACTGTATTAATAGTTGTCACCAACAATATAAAGAAGCCATTTTTCCCTTTCTCACTTTTTTAAGCCTCGTCTGGCCTTCATTCTTGCCAAATTTTAAATGTTGCAATAGTGTTTTTTTTAATAATGTGTGGTTGAAAAAGAATGAAATTTTTTTCATTTGCGTGTAATATTATTTTATGGAAGATTGTGTGGTTGATAATAATAGAGATAAATAGAATGAAAATAAGAATGGGGTCAAACGGGCTTTAAATGAGACTAATCAGGATTGGCAATAGAGGTTAGGGAAAAGAGAGATTTAGGAGTAATTGGATGCAAATTTAATAATAATTGAACCATTTTGAATTCCAAAACCATGAACTTTTTAAAGCATTTCATAAGTAATATTATAAGTGTTTATTTGAACCACATTATTTTGAAGGAATATATTTTGAAATAGTAGATTAATAAAGACTGTGTGGTCAAAAAATGAGGAAATTTTTTGAATTTGAGTATAATATTATTTTATTGAAAAACGTGTGATTGAAATGATGTCAAATCATTATTTAAGAATATATTTTTTGAAAGAACGCGGTTCAAATAGGCTTAAATCAACATACTAATGATAAATGTGGTGTACTAAACTTTGTTTAGATACATATTAACTTTTAAAAAACAATATAACAAAATTTTCATGCAATCATCCAATAATTCTCAATATCACTAAAAATTTCATACTGGAGGACAACCCACTAGGATATTGGCTCTAGGGGTAGAAATGGATGAGTAACAGAAATGGTCGTTCAATAAACTTTGTACCATGTCGCGACTTACTTATTAAACTTTATCAAGCGTCTCACTTAGCAGATGGAATCCATTAATAAATCTGCCAACATGAATGACAGAGAAATGACTTGGTCAATTAAATTCTTCCAAAGGCCTTTCTCAACTAAAGAAATTAAAACAACCCTTCATGTAAGACAGCTTTGATTAGAATTGAATTTCCCTGTATTTTTTGGAGGACATTGTTACATTTAAATCAAACTTTAGATAATAACTAACGTAATGTCGCACATCACTTTTATTTTTTTGGCAAGTAGCATAAGGTTTTGTAAAGAATTTGGCTGGGGAGAATGTAGCAGGAATGGAATCCAAAACAGGAGGAATTCATTTGAAGATGGAGTTTGTGGAACAAATCGGAAGCTTTTAGTATTTCCAATTGCTCGCATTCCACAAGGCCGCTTGTGGTTTTGGAGGCATCAGAATCCTCAGCCGACCCAGAATTCAGGTTCCGTTCTTGCATCAAAATCCACAAGTAACTTCGTTCTTGTTTCTCCCACTGCATACCTTCTTTCTCCTCCATCCCTGCATTTTTTTCCTTCCGACCCCTAAAGCTTTTCTCAATGCATTCTAGTCTTCTTCCACTTAGGGGATTTCTTCAAAGACTTTGTCCCAATTTGCAGGGGTTTTCCATTCACAGGGAGACTTGCCAGTTCTTTACATAACGTGTTTGCGCTTTTCAAAAACGAAAAATACATAGAAGCAGCCCATTTCCCGCCCACGCCCACGCCCTCACGCAATTTCATCCTTCTTTCACACGCCGCCGCCGAGCCAGAATGGACTCCGTCACCACGACGGAAGCGGCGCTTCTTTCCAAACTCCAATCCTCCAGTGACCTCACGGATCTCCACCACGCATTCACCTTACACCTCGAGCCCTTTAGTATTCATCTTAAACGCACCACCATCAAAAAATCCTCAAAATTCAATTCTATTGACGTCCAGCGTGCCGTACGAAGCCTTGCAAAACAGTTCTTACCTTTTCTAAACAAATCCCTTTCTCTCATTCCCAAACGCCTCTCGGAATCCCCTAAAATTGCCCACCATTCCGCCCTTGAACTCTTCGATGCTTACCGCCTCTGCCTCACCTGCCTTGAATTGATAGCACCGGAGCTTGCTAGTAAATCCTATCCAGTTCAGGTTCAGAGGCTTCGGTACATACACTGTTTGGAGCACTGGGAATTGTACGAAGATGCAGAAACAGAGAGTTTTTCTGTGCTCGAGAACTTACAGAGGATTGTTAAAGGCGATTCAAAGGGTAAATTGAGGAAATCCAAGACACTGTTGGTTCCTGAAATTAATGAGAGCGTTGATAAAGAATTTACAGCTTTAGTGTTGGAAACTGTCGTGACATTAGTGAAGTGTGCCTCGAAGAGTCAGAGTAAAGAGGATGCTGACTACTGGAGAGTTATTGCTTTGGCAAAGGAATCCCAGCCATTATTCAAGTATGGTTATATACACTAGTTCATGCATATATGTATCTGCACAGGATTAGGCACATGCACATTTCTTGAAGTCACGTATTCCTTCATGGTCTCGCATATTATAGTTAATTTGAACTATCACAGTACAAACTAGTCGTCATTTACACTATTATGATTATCGGTGTTTCTGCAAACAATTCAGGGTTTTGGAAGCCAAGGACAGTGAGAAATTCCACCGATCACTTGTGTTATATTTACATAGAATTGCTGTGTTTTTGGTTGGGGAATTGACATTTTTCGAAGTTGATTTGATAATCAAGTTTTGTTTGACGACCTTTGAAGCATATAAGCAATCATCTGTCCAAGATGACATGTACAAGGTGAAAATAATATTATTCTGCCGCTAGTGGATTTTGTTTGTGTTATGCTCTAGTTGTTGTTATTGATTTCATACTGTTTATTTTGTTTTTCTTACTGTAGTTTGCAGGCAAGATCTGCTCTTATCTGTTCTTGCAACAAAATGATCTATGCAGTCCCAATGTTATTGACATATTGAAATGTGTGTTGAACTTTATGGCCACCGAGTGCAAGGTAATTTCAGTATAAGAGACATAGTTCTTGATTTGCAATTATTGACAATCTTTCAAATACCGAGTAAGCATGTTCAGTGCATTTGTGATGAATTGAAATGAAAAATATGAACTATTTGCAGCATTTCATTTTATGAGCATTTTGTAAAACATGACAAGGCATAGGATGATCATAATTTGCTAAGATACAGCTTGTGTTAGATAACATAAATATCACTCTAAAATAATTTGAAGTTTCCGTAAACTGGAGGGGGTTCAATTTGTATCAACATTTACAATTTGCATGGTTAAGAGAAAGTGTTCGAGAATTTTGTTTTTAATATTTCTAGAAGTCTTATGTCCTGCATGGAAATTTGATAAACAATTCAAGGGATAGATTACTCTAGGTGCCTTGATCTACATTAGTCGTATTAACTGTAATTAATGCTTCCTTTAAGTTAAGCTGTTCAATGCTTTGAAACTTTAGAAAGTATCTTGTCAGAGTGGTAACTTAATAGGCTTAATCTTTACTTGGCAGGTTGGAATGGAGAAAACAAAACTGGAATTTTTGGAACTCGTCTATTATTGTGTAAATAAATGTCGAGCTACAACTTTGAATATTTGTGAAGCTATTGCAGAATTTTTCAATGAATTAGGAGGCCACTTTTGTGAGGTATCTCTTTTTGCATGTTCTAGTAATGCGCTTCCAATATATGGGTTTACATTAATTGAGCACAGTGCACTGTCTGACAATTTTTTTTTTTTTTTT